GGGGTTCTTGCTGGCTTCCAGCAGGATGTGAGATGTAGCAGGTGGAACGCTGGTGTGCGATGTAATGTACGCGCTCCGGTCACAGTACTTATAATCCTCCTCCCCGATCCCTGACGTGGTGGTCATCTCAGAGTAATACTCCGAGTCAGACGATTCCGAAAACACTTGTTGATGAGATGACCTTGGGTTGTGGTGCCCCGTGTAGTACCCATGGTGAGTCATGGGTGGGGGGAGTGGGGGCTCGGGGGAAGGCGTGGGCAGGCGGCTGGCATTGTCAACAGGGGTGACCTCAGCTGGAGGCCCCATCATGGAGAGGAGGACTGGCAGAAGAACTAAGCCATTCAGCATCCCCAACACAGTCAGGATGGCCAACACAGCAAAGAAATACCTGAAAGGGAGAGAGAGAGAGAGAGATGAGGGATGTTAGTTTGAACTTGAACCTAAAAAGCCACATTCAGCACTAGAAAGAACCGGTTTCAGATTAAAGCTCGCTGGGAGCATCTTGTAACCTCCGTTTACCTCACTGAAACAACAAGTGAAGGTGAAATATGGCGAGAAAGATCAATGAGAGCGACCACACCTTTCTTGTTAGTAGCAGCAGCTGCTAATTGTTAACTCGGTTTAGTTGAGGTCAGGCAATACCAAAACACCTCTGTGTTTACACTGAACAGGTCTGCCTACCCTCCTCTTCCGGCCTACTGCCTGCATCAGCTGGATTGCACAGACACATGCATCAGAAAGTGCATAATGTGCACATACTCACAGTCACACAGAGCCACAATCCATTAAATCTTGTTTTCTTTTGAATCTTGAAGTTTTTTGGGATTTGGTTCAAACTCAGATGGATTAAGTGTCTCAGCAAAACGCAGGACACTTTTACACAAAGTGGAAAACATTTAATCTCTGACATTTTTTTGTTGTTGTTTAATTTTTCTTAAAATGTGACCCAAAAAAAATGGGGGCAAGACCGCAGACCACGGTGTCCTGATGTTTGATATGGACAAGAGCACACATGCACACACACGGATGCGCGTGCACAATTCCAAACACACACATAGTTGGCACATGAGGAAGGGAAGTAGCTCAGGGGAAGAAGTCAGGGAAAGCCCAGTGTTTGTGTATCAAAGGCAATGGGGGGGTGGGGGGTGTGTGGGGGGGTGCAAATCTGATTCCCCACTCAGTCCAACTAAAACATGCTTTGATGCCTCCACTGCTGCTGCTACAAGACTTTCTCTCGCTCTGTTTTTCACTCACACTGTGTGTGTATGTGTGTGTGCTTTTTTTTTTTTGTGTGTGTGTGCGTGCATCTCAGTGGAGCTCTGAGGAGGCCAGGGGTGGAGGCAGGCCACAAGAAAGCGCTCCCCAAGAAAATTAGAGAGGACTCCACTTAAACACTAACAGAAAGCAGAAAGCGAGAGACAGTGAGATGCTAACCACCAGCCAGACTTAAAGAGGTAAAAAGAAAGAGGAAGGGGGGGGGGGGGGGNTGATTGTTGGAATGAAAAAAAAAAGAAAAGCAAACAAGGACAGGGATAATAGCTGCGGAGTGTTCTGGAAACATGCTCCTCTCCTCTGAATGGACGACTACTACAATTATTACTACTACTTCACTTGACACAGGTCACTCCTCAGGAAAAAGTTCATGGATTGCGTATTGGGTGTGATTTCACAACCCTTTGCACCAATTTCAGCCCACCGCTCTTTCTAACATGTTTTCCCCTTCCCTCTTTAACCGCTGTCCTTGTTTTACTCCTTCATCAGAAGCATAGCGCATGTCATCTTAACCAGCTTTGACAAAACACCTCAGGGAGATATTTTCAGTTTCTTACAGTCTGCTCCAACCATGGCTGTCTTTAAACCACACACAGATATTGAATTGGCGCGCATCATCGAACTGAAGCACGTTCACAAGCAGGCGCTGAAATCACAAACAGGTCATCTTTGTTTTCATGGCGCAGAATTGGACTCTCTCGCTTATTTTACTCAAAACTACACTTTTAACTTCTGTACATGGAAGAAAAACAAAAAAAACAAAAAAAAAAAAAACAAGGGAATAGTGAGACAGAAAGAGAGAGAGTGAGACTTTGGTGGGACCTCCAACAGCGTCTCACTGTTAGGAATTCTGTTGTTTATATAAACTGTAATCTTTTCCATTCGTTGTCAGGGCCTGGGGAGTCGTGTGTGTATGAGTGTGTGAGTAAGAGAGCGTAAGTGTTTACATGCCTGTACATATGTGTATTTTTCCTGTGTGTGTGAGTGCACGTGTGTCTGTGTGCGCACACATGTGCGGCCTGCATGTGTGTGCAATGCATGCTGCGCAAGTGTATGTGTGTGAGAGAGGACTCTGAGCAGAGCTGAATTAGTCTTGCTGTTTATTCAGTGCATTACAAGGCCAGGAGATGTTTACAGCAGTATATTTATGCTACTCCCCAGCTAGCCAGCTCTGGCTTGCCCCATTCACCCGACCACAGCTACAGCTACAGCTAAACAAGACCTCCAACAGAGATACTAGACCCCTCTGTCTCTTTCTCACCCTGCTCTCTGAAAATGATCTCTCTCACAACCATGGGAGAATGGAAGAAAAACAAGATGCTGAAAATGCTCTCTAATGACTCCCTTAATCCCAATCCAACTTCCTCTTAGTTCTCAGTTTTTCTCTACCCCTACATATTTACACCTCTTTATCTTTCCAATCCAACATCGTGGAGGATCCATTCATCTAATAATCATCTACCCACCCACCAGGACTTCATATGCCTGCGAGGAAGCCAGCCTCAGAGTGCTTCTCCTCCTCTCTCTGCCTCTGTCTCTGTTTCTGCAGAAAAACTCAGCTTTTTATGTCATGGAGGCCTGTTGCAGTCTGTGAGCTCAAGGTTGTGGTTTCGGGTTTGGGCCGAGACCACATTCGGCTGAAAAACATCGAGCTATTCGCCTTTTTTTCCACTCTGACCATGAAACAGTGGTAGAAAACACATGCACACACACATATACATATATACACAGTTTACACTTGCACGCGCGCACACACACACACACACACACACACACACACACACACACACACACACACACACACACACACACACAAAAATTGTGCCGCACACATCAGGGGAGTGATATTTGGTTGGTGGGCTACACACCATCTGACTGGCTGAGCAGTTCAAATTTAGCTCCACTTTTTATTACGGCACCTAACATGGAGGGAGAGAATGCCAAACGGATGATAGGAATTTTTACAGATTCCCTCGTGTGTGTTTGTGTGAAAGAATCAGTGAGAACGAGTGTGAGAGAGACACCACCCAGTGGGTAGCAGAACACTTCCATGTTTACGAGCAGCTGCTACACACCCTTGATGTTTTCCCCATTTGTTGTGTTCTGAGTTTGGGGAGACGGATGTGTGTGTGTGTGCCCAGAGTGACAGAACCAGGTGTATATTTGTCACTGTGTGTGTGGGTGTGTGTGTGTGTGTGTGTGTGTGTGTGTGTGTGTGTGTGTGTGTGTGTGTGTGTTTGTGTGTGTGTGTGCATAAATAGGGGTATAACATTTCCACCTGCATGCACCCCTGATCCCCCAGAAGGCTTCCTTCCATCCCTGAGTAAGGCTAGACAACTGGCTCCACACATACACACACACACACACACACACACACACACACACACACACACACACACACACACACACACACACACACACCAGTGGTGTAAAACCAAAACAACACTGCTCCTTGTTAAGGTAACATATGGGCCGTGGAGGGTGTAGACACCACTGCTGCCAAAGCGAGCACTGTCACTCTCTCACACGTGAGCACCACGTCAGCACAACTTGTCAAATGCATACATACAGAGCTGCACACACGAAAAACAGACGTACATACGCAAGCATCTCACCTCATGATGAAGTCAAACTCTGACCCTGCCAGCATGAGAACGCCCAGCAGCGTGGAGATCGCTCCGTCAACCACCGGGGCAAACATGTGCTCCAGAGCCACCGCCGAGCGCTTGTTTCTGTTGCCAATTGCTGTCAGGAAGCCCTGTGGCAGACGGGGAGGTGGGGAAGAGAAATGAGTTGGAAATCTTGCCGATCACACAAAAGTTGTGCTTGCGGCCGAGCTTGGCACGCTTCAGAATTCCTGTCTTTGGTTTTGTTGGGGATCACTACGCTACAAGACAGTACACTGTGCTAGAGAGCTGCCAGCATGAACCAGGAAGCCAAAAGTTCCCTAGTAAATCTTTAATCACACTTATTTTACCTTAATCACTTTCCATTTCAGGCATGAAGCCACAGGAGTCTGTGCAACTAAAGATCTTTGCAAAAGGCTGCAGCCTATTGCTTTATAAAATGTTTACAAATCCTTGTACAGAGAAAAAGTATGCATGCACTCAGTAATTAAAAAGCAGTATCACAGGTTAAATGTAATTCTTCCCTAGGGTATGCAAATCCACATAAAACTAGCTGTACACTTGTGATTTTCATTCATATTGCAATTCTTATGTGGTCACATGTTTGTGTACAGTAGGTATTTCCATGTGCGTGCTCTAACTCACCAGCGCAATGTGAACGGTGAACTCCACTCCGATGCCCACAGAGGCGATCAGGATGACCACGGGGATGGCGCTCAGCTTGATGCCGATCAGACCCATGATGCCAAACAACTCCACCGTCATCATGGCCAAGATAAAGACCTGAAGGGGAGACATGGAAATCGTTTTTTTTAACTGCCAATACGTGAGAAGCAGTAGGAGGATGAGGAAACAAGCAAAGTAATTGGTAAAACAAATAAAAGCATAAAAAAAAAAAAAAAACAATAAAAGTGAATGTGTCTTTCTTTAGTGACTGAGTTGAGCCCCTTTGCTGCTTCACCCCACACAATCTTTGACCCTGTGCTCAGGCTCTCAACTACATGGCATCAAATTACCCACCCTGAGGGTATACGAGCCCCCTACCCCTCCCTTCCTTATCTTACTCTTCTTCCTTCCTTTAGGTGGTTGTAATGATTGACAGCGCCTGAGACAACACAGTGTGGATACTCTGTCACTCCTATCACACCAAATGTATGTACCTCCGTTTGTTTGTGGAAGACAAATCCTCTTTTTTTTTCCACATGATAGCAGCCTGCAACGCACATTTTATTGTTTCCAACATTTTTTAACGTAACATCTTCGCAATGCAGTATCATGGTGTTTCAGTTGACTAATGTCTGAGTAGAAAATGTGCGATGTTACTGTAAACCTCAATACAAACAAGAACAGCGAGTCTTAGCAAACAAGGAGGAGAAAACAGTTCCTGGCCAAAGGGAGCTTTTGATCCCAGCAGGGGCTACGAGCTGGGGCATGGTTAAATTGGAAATGATAAAAGCCGTTTTACTGCCCAACCACATACAGGCTGGGTGAAACCTTCACAGGCAGGGCTGATGCTTGGAAACCATGCATGCATGTAGCTGTGCCTCTCTCTCTCTCTCTCTCTCTCTCTCTCTCTCTCCTCGGATGCCTTCTTCTCTCCTTTTCTCTCATCTTCTCTGTGTCTGAGGAGATTGGGTTGTGTTGCTGTCTCAATCAGTGCTGCTTTAATGAAATACATTCCAACTGAAAACTGGCACTGGTTGTTGTGCTAACACTTTCAAGCGCTTTCTCCCCTTCCACCCCCACCAACGGTCAGGGATATGTGGATTTGTGTATGTGTGTGTGAGTCTGGGGGGCCCTTAAGGACCACCGGTCCCACCAGCTTGTGTGTGAAATGTTTTCCAAACACTGCACACTCAGACTGTCTCTCTCTCTTTCTCTTTCTCTCTCTCTCTCTCTCTCACACACACACACACACACATACACACACACACACACACACACACACACACACACAGACACACACACACTCACACTCACACAACACACACCCCTGATGGATGGGTTGAGCAGGCCAAGGTCGCAACTGGGCAGATCTGTCCTGTCCCCAAGTCTCTCCCTCTCCCTCTGACAAAAGCTGCGAGGGAGTTGGAGGTAGAGGCTTCAGGAGGGCAAAGCCTTTCTTGCTCCTTTGCATTTCCTTTTCTAAGGCTGGCCCAGCCTACATTAGAATGACAAAGGTCCCCGTGTGTGTGTGTGAGTGTGTGCGCACTGGCCCTCCACAGAGAAAAAGGGGCCCCCCTAGACAGCGTTATTGAGCTGTGCTGAGAAGGGTGAGAAGAAAGTGAGAGGAAGAAGAGATGGTGGAAGGGGGTAATGATGTTGTTGACGTAGGATGAGGACGAAAAGGTAAGACAAAAATGGAAAAGAGGGGCAAAAGGAAGGGTGAGGAGGAGTAGGGACACGATGAAGACTTTTTGAGGAAACTGATTGTTGGCTTACAATGATGCCTGCGGTCCAGGGGTTGAGCAGGAGAATCGCACAGACCAGGAAGGTGCAGGCCAGCACCACGCTGATCGACAGCAGGAACCAGTGTCTGAGGCCGATGTACTGCTCCCAGAACAAGAAGGGGTATCCGTTAGGGTAGTTGAACACACCCTTGCGGCTAAACTCGTCGCAGATGGCACGCACGCTCTCGATGGCCTCCACAAAGTCGCTGGCCTGGCGAAGGCCGTTCAGGTAGAAGGGGAACTGGGCAAACTCCAGGGGCTCTGCAGCCGGGACTGCAAAGAGAGATTTGAGATGTTATCATGTTCATACTACAAGTCATTTTCGGGTGAATCCACTCTGGCTAAAATCGTTCATATATGATTAGACCCTTACTGCGCAGATTCTCTCCTGTAGTGTCATACTTGTCGTGAATCCACTCTCTGGGATGGGGGTAGAAGTTGGCCTGGGAGGCAGCGTAGCCCAGAGGATCGTTACTGACCCAAACTGTCAGGTAAATGTAAAACACCTCCGGGGGGATCAGACCCTCTGCGTCTACCAGCCGACGGGATGTCAACTGGAGAAAAAAATGATTGGGTTTTTGTCAGACTGAATGGTAAAAAGACAGCTTATAGCTTACTTGTCTGCAATGCCACACACCTTGTCATGGACAGGACATGTGGATTCTGTTTTAAAGTTGTTGTTTTTTTTTTGTTTTTTTTTCTTTGCAGCTCTTGGACATACCTGGCTGTAGTTAAAAGGCTCTTTCTTGGAGCCGGTCTGGATGAGGAGTTTGTACGCCAGAGCTCCGTCCTCTGTGCCGTTACGATAGCTGTCAGCGGTAATCCTGCCTGCCTGCCAGTCAGCATCAAACGCAGCCTGAAGACCTGCGTGTAAAACACACACAGGAGAGAAGGGATTATTGTGGTTGTCATTTATAAATATTATGATTTCCATCATCATAAAATTATAGCTGTTTTCCTGTGTGACTGTCTATGTGGGCAGTGATGTTGACAATATGAAATATCACATTTCTTTTTCCGTCTCTCTCTTTCCTTTTTCTTTTTCAGCTGGCTCTGATTGACCTGTTAGCTATTACTTCCTCCTGACTGGGCCCCTGACATGTTCTAGCCTGAGGACACACATACACACACACACACACACACACACACACACACAGACACACACCAACACACACACATGCAAAGATAACCTACGACCCCAACCCATCTACTCCACCACCCCTGAGCTCCAGGTGGATGGGGGTAAACTGCGTGACTGAACTCTGAACTTTCACTCACCCTTCGCACATTCTCACCCCTGCACACACACCCATTCAACTCCTGTTCTTAGTGAAAAGCACACCTGAAAAAACCTGTTGGACCCTCTGCTGGGTTCTGATATCGCTATCAAAAAACCCTCAGGGGGAGAAAGAGAGTAAGTTATTACATGACTCAGTCAAAAGGAAATAACATTACTCAGCTCGAATTCTTACCTCGGAGCCAGTCATGGAAGTAGTGCAGCCACATGCGAGGCAGTTTGTTGTCGCTGTCTCTGACCACGTATCTAACAGAGTTGAAAGCGTTGTGCAGCTGGATCAGCAGCCTCTGTGACCGAGCGTAATCAAATCCATCCATGGTCACCAGGTACATGTTGTAGAAGGAGAAATACTTGAACTGGGCGTCGATGAAATCGTACTCCTTGGTGTCGCGTGGCACGATGTCGGTCAGGTAGAGGCCGTCGTGCACCATGGTGGTCCCATACAGGCTGAGACCCAGGAGGCCCAGGAAGAGGACCACCACGATGGCTTTGCTTTTCGGCTTGAGGAGCAGAGGGGCGTATTTCTCCCTGGCGAAGCTGGACAGGTTCCAGTGCAGGAAAGGAAGTGGGACGCATTTCTTTCCCGATCTTGAGTCCTCCACCTGGGCCAGGAGGTCACGTGTGGAGCTGGAGGTAGGGGTGAAGAGCTGGGAGCCGTAGGGGTCTGGCACTGAGGTGGTGGTGGGGGAAGGTGTGATGGCTAGAAGAAGGAAATACAAGCAGCACATTAGTGTGCATCATGATTCATTTAAAATACTGACTTTAAAGAAGAATTAAGCCAAAAAAAAATACAAAAAACATAATTATGAAACTTTATTTACCTTGAGCCTGGGAGGTGGGGCAGAGGATGATGGAAGGTGGGCTGGTGGAGATCTGTGAGGTAGGCGGTAGAATCGTGACAATATGCTGTCCTGCTGCGTCACACTGAGTGAACGCCTGCACCGTGGTGGTGATTTGGGTGCTGGTGGTGATGGTGGATCCCGCAGCGTACTGGTGTGTGTGCGCCGTCGCTGTTGTAGGCGTGTGCGGCTGCTCTCCGGCGTCCGACAGCTCGTGCGGGGACAGGTGGATGACGCGGTCGGAGCAGGGGCTGTACAGGCAGCAGAGGACGTCCAAGCGCTTGTCTTCACGTCGGTGGAGGTCCAAACTGAGGATGGCGGGGAAGATGAGCAGCACCATGGCGAAGTTAAACACGACCACAATGGCCGCCTAGGGAGAGAAAAACAGAGAGAAAAACAAAGTGAGAAAGAGACAGGGAACAGTATGTGAAATTACAGGCACCATCACCCAGCTGGGGAGAGTCAGGGCTTCTTCATTTATTTTTTTTATTTTTTTTTGACTGACTCAGACCACAGCCCAGAAAATAAAGAAAAAGCTTTACTCTAAATCATCAGCCAGGAATACTAAGCGAGCCAGGAGGGGAGAGGGAGAGAGAAGAGGGAGAGAGAAAAGAAAGAAAAGAGTGCCAGGAAGAAAGAACTACTAGAAAGAATGAGAGAAAGAAGCAGGGGGGAGAATATATATGCTGCGAGTCTGAGCAAAACTATCACCCTTCACCACCACCACCACCTCCCCACTCACTCCAGGCCCTGAAGCTGACATTCTAACTGGCTGTGGTTTCCAGCGTGTATCCGTCTGTGTGTGTGTGTGTGTGTGTGTATTTGTGTGTGCGCTTGTGTGTTTCGGACCACCCACAGTTAGTCACACATCAGAGCAAACCGCCTTGAAGGGGCCAGTGATATACTGATCTACTTCTCCCTCCCTCTTCCCATCTCGTTCTGCCTCTGTCTGCTTCTCTCTGTTCATCACTCTCTTTGCTCTGATTATTCCACATCACACACATGTACACACACACACACACACACACACACACACACACACACACACACACACACACACACACACACACATTTATGCACATATACAGACACACGCAGAGACACGCACACACAAAAAAATGTTGGCCCTGTAGGTGCGGCGGCAATAAAACTGGGAACAAAGGCTTTCCTTGCTCTGTATAAATGTCACCTCTCTTAAGTTATCTCTTTCATTTTCAAAGGAGCCTCGGGCCTCTCGGTGTGCGATTGTGTACATGTGTTTATGTCTGTCGCGCATGCGTGTGAGGGTGTGTGTGTGTGTGTGTGTGCTTTTGTGCAAAACGTACCTGCAAGGAGAAAGCTCGCAAGGCAGGGATGGGTACGAGAGCGGCCATAAAGAATGCAATCATGTTGTTGATGGAAGTCAGAGCCACACTGGTGCCGGTGCGACGCAAACAGTCTCCTGTCCGTTCCTTTAAAACAAACACAGGTATAAGTCAGACAGAGGAGGAGAGGAGGAGAGGAGAAGAGGAGGAGAGGAGGAGAGGAGAGAGGAGACTCTTCAAGGTACCTTGAAGGGGATGTTACTTCCAGCTTCTGTGAAGGAGTGAGCCAACAGAAACATGTCATCCACACCAATCCCTAGTGCCAGGAAGGGAAGCACCTGGGATGGGAAACACATCAATGGAGAACAAAGGATCAGAATGAGTGTGTGACATCAAACTCTGGACACTAAATCAAGATTTTGGCCAAAAGACCAGCAAAAATTAAGACCAAAAAATAAATAAACAAATAAAATATAAAGTATGAAGTGTCCTCTGTGTTGTACCTGTGTGGTGGCAGCATTGAAGGAGAGGCCGAGCAGGGAGCAGAGACCCAGTCCAGCAGCCACTGACAGCGCCACCAACAGCACCCCGGCCAGCCCCACGGCCCCCTGGGACTTAGCACAGTCCCACCTTAGCATGGTCACACAGGCATAGGCGAGCTAGAGAGAGGACATCCATATTAAACATCAGTTATTTCACAGTAAATATTTTTCATTAACTTACTAGTCTGACTTGAACCGGTTAATGTGCTCACCATGAGCAGGTATCCTCCGGCCACCCTGATGACGCTGACGTCAGAAAAGGATTTCATGATGTCGTTGAGGGTGGTGGTGGAAAAAGCATGGATGGACTGGCTGGAGTTAGCTGGGATACTCTGATGGACCACCTACGGGAAACACATTAGTTGGTTATTAAGCTGTGCAAAAAGTCACCATTATACCATTATAATTTGGCTGTCAAACGCAGGATGTTGAAAACCCCAGATTGATAGTTAAGCATACTAAATACCTTGGCGGGTCTGAGCTGCTGAGTAAGACAAAGACTTATTTTTTTCTTGCCCATGAAGTTACACACCATCTTACACACACCATTCGAGCACCATCAGTGGTAGGCCCGAGCCTCTACTACAACCCCATATTTTGGGGCCCTAAAAGAAAAAGAAACGGACCCCTCTCCCTTTGAAATGTGTACGTGTGTGAGAGTGAGTATGAATGTGTATGTGTGTTTCTCATGTGCTAGCATGTGTGTGTGTGTGTGTGTATGACAACTGAGGAGTAATGAGCACAGATGCCAGAGGTTGTGAGGTCAAAGGTGAAAGGGATGGGATCGCATGGCTCAGGAGGCTGCTCCCTCCACTCAGTGCCATGAATGGACCCACCCATGGCTTTTTACCTGTTTGCATTTCATCATCATCATCTATCTCTTAAAGATCTGTCCTTGTTCTTTAATGTGTCAGGAGGAGGTTCAGTACGGCGTCTCTCTCAGTTTGCGTTTGAGTTTTGTTTCCTTTCCTCTCTTACACATGTCCCTCACTTCCCTCCCTCCCTCCCTCCTTACCCTCACCATAGTGGGTGTCAGCTATCACAGCAACAGCTTGTTCCTATAACTAGGGCTCTGACAGAGAGAGATGATTGACCTACCACACACACACACACACAAACACACACACACACGTACACATACCTATTGCCTTAGTCTACCCTGCAATTCGCTGTACGAGGGAGCTGAAGACTGATGGAATTCAGACACTGCAGAATGAGTCCCATGCAGTGTGTGCGTCCGTATGTGCATGTATTTGTGTGTGTGTGTTTGTGCATGTGTGTGCGTCCGCGTGCATCCGTGTGTGTGTGTGTGTGTGTGTGTGTGTGTGTGTGTGTGTGTGTGTGTACAAAAACAAAACAAGCCTGCATAGGGACAAGGAAATGCCTCCTCATTTTCCTCACCCTCTTTCTATGTCTTCGTGGTGGTTACAAACACTACTCCTGTCCAGCTTGTCGTTGAAGTGTGTGCATTTGAATGTACATGAAATGTGTGTATATGATCGCACCTCCACAAACTTCCTCTGCCAGGACTCGAGGATAGCGGTAGCCTTTTCTTCATTCCAGTTGATGTCATGGATTTCATAGTCGTCTTTAAAGTGCTCGTACAGCTGCTTAGGACTCATCAACAGGAACATGGTCTGCAGAGCCTCCGCACTGCAAAACACACAAATGTAAGCTTAGGACACATCAGAGACGTCAGACGCGTTCTTTAAACATGGTTTATTGTGTGTGGAGCTGATTTAAAACCTCAACTGCATCATTATCTCACAACTAGCACATTAAAAATCATCCCGTTTGACTGTTTAAATGTTCGTGGTATCCCTAAACTTTATTCGTATTGGAGTGTGCCCCGCTGTGAATGGCTAAAAGCAGGTGCCTTTTCTTCAAGGATTTGTCCGCCTGCCTGCCTGCCAATGTAAACAGCCAAAAGCAGGTGTTATCTAGTCTGTCTGTCTGCTGATCTCCAGGCTGCGATCCCAGATGTCCTCAGGTTTTCTTGGCACCGGCACAGTGAGCAGCGGTGCTGCTCAAAATATGAAAGAAATGATCATAAATCACATCCCAGAGTAAGTGTGGCTCTTGCAGATGGGGCTGGAATCCTCTTTCACTCAAGGCTCTGTTGGGCCTGTGTGGGTCATGATCTGGGCTCTGAACCAATGCTGTCACTCCATTTGTATTGGCCATGCTTTTAAATCCAGTTGAAGTCAATTGGAAAAAAAAACAAAACTCTGGAGTACGTCTAATGAAGAGACATGTGTCAGCTTTAGATAAATGTGTTTTTTCCCTACTTCTATTTCTTCGTCTTCTTTGGTCGCTTACACAATAAATGTGTAGCAGGGTGTGGGAGGGGACTTTGTGTGGCTGTCAATCATCTTTAATTGGCCTATCCTGGACCTGGGTCGTTCAGGAAACCGATCCCTCCCAGTACGAGGCATTCCTTGCATGTGTCTGTTGGGTTATTAGGGGTTACACAGATTCCACAGTCACGGCGGCTCACAAGCTGATGGGTGGACTTGCTTGCCTGTTCGGCTGGCAGTGATCACACAACTAACCCCAACTCCCAACGCCCCCTTACTATTATGTCTTCCAATAAGACAAGAGCATGGGAACATACTGTGTAAAATCACCTGAAGCTGCAGGGTCAGGATCTTTCATTACATGACTTAATAAACACACACCTCAGCAGAGTATCCTGGCCGTTTTTGACCCGCCCTCCCAGGATCAGCTCCTCCTGCCAGTGCATGAACTTCCGGCTGAAACCATGGCAACCACCCTGGAGATGCCTAGCAATGTCAGGACTCTGAATGGAAGGAGGGCAGAGGAACAGACAGAAAAACACAGAAATATGTTAGATATATCTGCATCTTCTGAGCGTCACTCTCTTTATCTCCTCGCAGCTGCTTCGTGTATGTAATGACTGAAGTTGTTTATTGTGTATTGTTTACCTCTCCTTTCTCCTTGTTGGGTGCACTAAGGGGGCAGTCGGGGTCTGAAGGGTCTAGACAAGACCTGTTCATGTAGGCGTGGCCCACCTACAGAATTGAACGACATTATAAAAGTGTCAGTATATAGAAAAACGTATGAAAGTAGATGAGTATGAGTACAATCAGTAAATCTGTCAGCGTGTAGTTCAGTGACCCACCTGGGCTTTGTCCAACATCTCCTTAAATCCTTCCAGTGAAGTGAACTGACTCAGTTCCTCCATCAGCTTGACTGGATCTAGATTCATCCACTGGATATCTGGCATACCCCTGGAGAGCAAAGACACACTTATGACTTGATAACTCGAAGAGCAAACTGTAAAAGAACATTTATCGCTTTGTGCCTGCAAGGCTACAGGGCTTTGCATCCCTGCTCACGTTTAATTTGAGCAGGAAAACTTTCAGTACAGTTTAATTCCCGCTCCCTGGTTGTGCTGGGCTTCGCGAGAGGTTAGCTGCAGATACAGGATAAAATAGCGTTTATTATCCTGTTTCACGCTGCCACAATGCCCAGGGAAAAGGCAGGGTGGCTGCCTGCTCACTTCCATTCCTCAATGTCCTGCACTGAGTCATAAAAATTACCTCTGCCTCCCAAACATCTTGATAAGGAGGGAGGGAAGGGGAAAGGCTGAGTGGATTGGAGGGAGGGAAATAGGTGAGGGATGAGAGAAGAAGGGAAGGGGGGACTTTAACGCTATTTGCTGTGTGACGTTCACTGACAAAGAACCTATTTCTGAGCCTCACCAGTACCGCCTCCTTCCTCTTCATAGGATAAATGTATCATTTTCCTTCATATCACCAGCAATAAATCTATTCTTCACTATTTTTACACATCTTAGCATCAGTTTATACCTAGATATCCTGCTTTTCTGTTGTATATATCTTTCAGAAAATGAATCAGCCCACTTTAATATTCTTGATTGCTACGACTTAAAGTGAGCTCTTTATGTGCAGCAACTCCAAAGCTGAAAATGAAGGCGGGCACCGTGTAAAATAGCTTAACAGTTTTCCTGGTTTAGCAGTGGTTTCATAAAATAGAGCCATAAATTTAGTTAAAGAAAAAAAGAAAGAGATGACATGCTTCATTAATGACAAGATTTTGTGATTCAGTGTTAAATAACTGTTTAAGACGGATATTTTCTGCAGTGACACAAGCAAGAAAGGAGACAGACAGAAAGAGATGGAGGGGAAATAAAAGAATCTCAAAGTGTCTCAACTGTGGGTTCAATCTCCCTCCAATAGCTCATGAAGAGAGCTCCTTTCCTATTCCCACATACCAGGTCCCTTTTGCTGCTGCTCGCAAAGACACACTCCTTTATCAGCTAGTTTTTGCTTGAGTGAACTGCGCCTGGGCCCTTTTGTTTTTTCATAGATTGCTGCTCTTTGTTCTCCCAAGTTTTCTCTCTCACTCTTCCTCACTCTCTTTCCCAATCTGCCTCTTTCCCTCTTCCCCTTCCTCTGACTCCATCTCACTCTTTCTTTTTTAATTTTTTTTTTTATTAGCACTTAAAACCAGGGCTGAAGTGAAGCGGAAGCTGACTGCGGCGGACACTGGCCTCAGTGTCCACAAGTTCCCCTCAACTCCACGTGAGAAAACGAGTAAAAAACTATTAATAAATAACAACAGATGTTGAGCATTTGGTGTGATTTACAGGAATACTTTGAGGACTTGTGAATCATCAAAGAACCTTTCTCCCTCTCTGTCGCTGTTCTTTCACACAAGCCAACTGGGAGATGCAAAAGATGGGAAACTTGTGTTTGTTTCTGTACGTGTTGGCTTGTCATGCAACATGCTGCTGTCAGCTCTAGACCAAAATATAAACAAATAATCTCTTTGCAAAGAAACATCTGCTATGATCTAAACTATCTTTTATAAACGAAGGACTCAATTGAAATATCACCGCTGACGACAAAAAAAAAAAAAAACTCTTTCAGTGACTCAATTTCTCAAGAGAACTTCGTCCTCAAAAAAAGGAGAAGAAAAAAAAACTTGAATCCACAAATGCCCAAATACGCCCAGACTCCACTGTTAACTGTCTTGTAGCCTCTCTCTGTCTTTCTCGGGGGACTTGAGGCTTGAATACTGCCCATTTTATTTGTTGGACAACTTGGGAGCTGAGAGCCTGGGGCATTACCATGAGAATGCCGAGTGTTAGCCGTGAGCTGACAAAGCCGGCCCCCCTCCCTCCTCCGGGGCCCCTGCACTGATGGACACTCACTCGTAAACTGAAAGAATGCTTACCATTGTCTGACCCAAAGGGCTCCCCTGCCACCACCACCACCACCACCGCCGCCGCCGCCTGCCCGCCCTCTGTTCTACCAACCCACCATCCAGTTGCTGCTGCAGCCATCTCCTCTCTCTCTCCATCCCTCCCTCGCTCGCTCACTCGCTGCATCTCTCTCTCTCTCGCTCTCTCTCTCTCTCACTTTCTCTCTTTGAATTTCTCTGTCAGGACACCCCCCTCCGGTCCCTCTCTGGGCCCTAAAAGAACTCTATTACTGACCGCCGCTGTCAGTCACAGCACCCACTGACAGACTACTGAAAGCCCAACTGTATGTCTCCATCTAGCATGTGTTAAAAGTTACAGACCCCTCCAAAAGCTCTAGTCTGCAACGCAAGTCAGATGGAAGCAATGACAGCAAAGGGGGAGCCAAGACTTTCTATGAAATGTTTTAATATGCAGAAAAAGAAAAGAAAAAAAAAAATTGGGTTGAATATTCTGAGACTTACGGTAAATAGGCGGAGCCTCCCTGTAGTTTGGCCCCTTCCCAAAAACAGTCCAATGGGGTGATTATCATACAGGGGAATAGCTTGTCAATCATCTGGGATCAGGAAACACAAAGGAAACATGATTAAACATCAAAAATCAGGTAAAAATATATGTATTAGAAATCAGTTTCTTCCGTTGTCAACTTACCCTTTCAATCATGACATTTTCTATAATAGGGACTCCTGATTTATAGCATATTTTGTTAAGATCCCACGATCTACAAGAAAGAAAATACATTTTTATTTATAACCTTTTCGACACAAAAAGAGGAACACAAGAAAATGATTCACATTACATCTCCATGGTCTGCTTACTTTCCAAACAGCGACACCTGAACCTTGCTGGCAGACAGAGCGGCTTCCATGTGAACCAGCAAAGCCTCCTGGGTAAGAATATTGGTGCCCTCTTCTTTGGGGGTCTGGATAAGCATCTGTGAGGTAAATACCGACTCCTCTCCCTGCTTCTCCCTGGTGTAGCGAAGCTCTGTGCTCACCCGACTGCCAGCTAGAAGACAGAGAATAAAGAATAGCTTGATTCCAAATTCTTGATTTTATAGATAGATAAATAGATACATTGCCACAGAATAATTTTTTTTAATGTACATACAAAGACACACACATACACACATTGGGATCTTATAACAAAGTGTCTTGCGTGCGTACATATGCGCACACACTTACACAAGAACACACACATATATCGACCAACGCCCTTGGCCCTCGCCAGTGTTGGTTTTGAAGGCACTTCACACAAGCCAGCGTCTGGCCAAGAGAAATGAGTAATACAGCTTCTCATTGGCTCCTTCTGTGAAACAGATGTGCCCTGTTAGTTAGGAAAACCAGCCTTCTGATGCCCCGAAAACCCCTCTACCACTCTGCTCAGGGCAGCAGATATGGACAAAGACATTCTGAATACACGAAAAAGGATCGCCACGAACAAACGATGAACTCTCTTTCCTTTCTTGTGTTGATCTTTGAGGCAGCTTAGATGAAAGAAGAGAAGAGAAGAGAAGAGAAGAGAAGAGAAGAAGAGAAGGAAGAGAAAAGAAGAGAAGAGAAGAGAAGAAGAGAAGAGAAGAGAAGAGAAGAGAAGAGAAGAGAAGTTGTGAATGACATACATCAAAGATGCACGGAAATTAAGTAATATGAATGTCAGAGGTGGTGATGAACAGAAAAGAGATAGAAAGAGGATGACAATAAAAAAAACTGAGAGAGAGAGAGAGAGAGAGAGAGAGAGAGAGAGAGAGAGAGAGAGAGAGGGAGCTATGTTGTGCTGTGTGGTAGACTCCAGCCCCCTAATTACAGAAGGTTGCCCTGAAAAGAGTTTGCCAGCCGGGGGGATCTGTGCCTGTGCCAAGTGGACATGAAACATGCCGCGCTGGATCACAGAGGGCCCGTCTGCCCCTCTTGCTGTCCCACTACATGACAACCCCAGAGAGAGAGAGAAAGAGAGGGAGGGAAGGGGAGAGGGTGGAGTGGTGGGGTGAGGGGGAGTTTGGAAACAGGGGCTACCTCCTTCTTAATTCTAACTCTCGTCACTCTTTTACTCACTTTCAACTGCGCTGCACTCAGTCTTGGCTTCACCTCTTTTAGCATCTATTTCTCTACTCCCCCTAATACTGTCTATATCTGCTGCTTCTGTCTTTCTCTCTGTCTCTCTCTCTCTCTCTTTCCGTCTTTCTTTCTTTCACTCTTTCCCTCACACTCTCTGCACCTCCCCCAGCCTGGAGCAGGCTCCTGTAATTGATGGGGAGAAAAGAAAAAACAAACTATTCAGCCTACGCCGTGAAAAGTGTGAGATCAGGTTAGAACTCTGGGCCTCGGAGACACGCTCCAAAATTTCTAGGCTTTGCTTTCAAGGCTTTGATTACCTTCGCTGGGGCTCCAGAATATCAGGTCACCTCGTTTATTTGCAGTCACAGGTGTCTTTTTTTCTTTTTTTTTTTTTTTTATTGTCTGGCTCAGTGCATCCCAAAAGAAAATACCTCCAAATGGGACATGTTCTTGTTGGGTATTCTGTGCACATCTGGTCTTACAAATCTTTTAAAGTCTTTAAGTATTTATAAAGCTTTTATTCCAAAGGAGCCACAACAAAAAGATGTAGAACAAGTAATTTCCTGAAGACTTTTGGAGACTCTTGTGGTTGAGAAAATTAAGTAAACGTTTTTCAAAAAGAGCACTGGTTCTTTTGAGTTTATTTGACTTTTATTAAACCGTTTTCACACTGCCAAGTGCATGTACAAAGTGATGAGGCTCGATGTAAGAGCAGTCGTTGGACATATAGCTCCCCATGACTCCACTCAGTTTCCTTGCCGCACAGATTTCCAATCAAAAAAAAAGAAAAAGAAAAAAGGCTACTACAAAATGGAACCCTTTCCGTTCGTGGACTTCTTTGACATCTGTTAAACCTTTTTTGACATTTCGTATGTTAACCTCTGCAGCGTGGGGTTTTGATCCCAACAGGAACTGGGTGGCTCGGAGAGACTCTGGCTCTGTAATTACAGGCCTCCTGAAGTAAATTATAGCTATTTGTGTCTCGTTCCTCCCATCTGGACCACCCAGGCAGCCAGTCCTCTCTCTTCTCTCTCTCTCTTTCTCGCCTTCTCTCCTCAACCCCTGGTCCGGCCCCAACCACTCAGCTTTGAGCTTCGCAACTGCTCTGCTCAGTTTAGCTCCGCTCAGTTCACAGCTCGCACCAGAAGGAACCATGTCCTTTCTTTTCTTATCTGTCTCTCTTTCTATCTCCTGCTCTCTCCTCCTTTTCCTCCCTCTTTCCCATTTTCTACTTCTTTCTCTTTGTCACTCTTTTTCAATCCCCCCCTACCCTCTCCCTACACTCAGCCTGCGCTCCACACAGCCTTAAAGAGACAGTTCCCGGAAATTTTCCCACCCTGGGAAGAAAGCGCCTTTGAGTGTGGGGTTTTAACACCCCAGTGGCTGGCAATTTTATTACATGAGCAATTTTGTAACATGAAATATTAGTCTATGTCTGGCAACATGATCAAAAAATGATCACAACTGTCTAAATCATATCTACAGTTCTTTCATTGGATGTTTTTGAGAAACTCGACCACCGTCTTACGAATTTTTGCAAACAACTTGACTCTGTTGGGTGAAACATATGAATTCATTTACTTGCTTCACCACTAAAAGCACTTTCACAACAGTTACGACACTGGGAAAGTGAAAATCGAGCGAAAAATATTATAACAAGCCCTGACATGGTTGCATGGCAATGGGCGTACAAATATAATGTTTGCATGTGTGTGAGTGTGTGTGTGTGTGTGTGTGTGTATGTGCATGTGCGTAGTTGTGCCAGTGGGTGTGTATGTGCATGTGTGTGTGTACCGGTGTAAAAACTGGACCCTGTCTCCATCAACCTCAGTCATTTCCTGCCCACCTGACCCTTCCATTCCCAAAAGCCGAACACCCAGAATCCCCTAACTCGGTGAAATATGTGCGGCTTTACACATCTGGCTTTACGCATCTGGCCAAGGCCACCTTTAAAGCGCTGTGTTTCAAATTTATTCTATTCTATTCTATTCTATTCTATTCTGCCTTCGTGTCTTACAGGCCTAGTCCCAGTTCCAGGCCATGCTAGGTCAGACCAGGCCACCTTCAAAGTTCAGTGTGGTAGATTAGCTGGATTAGGGGGCCTCTGAAAGGCCCCACGCTGCTATGGAGGAAGACCCAAGACGAAGAGGGCTGTAAGTGACATGTATGCCGTTACCTGCTACATACAGCATTGGAAATGACCTTTTCCTGATTTACGCAGCATGAGAGCATGAGAGGAAATGTACATCTGATTTCTACACAGAACCTCCATTGATAAAAGGTACATTCAAGGGTAAAAAAAAGAATTCTGACCACCACAAAGTAGCAACAATATAAAAAAAGACGGAAAGCTATCCCTTGGCTGCCATCTTCCATACATCATTCACTTTTTCTCTGAACCCTTTTTTTCACAACGTCCTCCAATAGAGGTCCTTTATTTCTTTTGATTTTCAGCTAAGGAGCCAAATGAGAAATTCATTCTCTTGGCCTGGCACCCAGCATCACAAAAAAAACCTCTTGCTCCTTTTGTCACATGTGGACCCACCAGAATCAGGACTGTGTCCCGCTTTGGGTCCTCAGCCCGGCCCTGCCCTGTGGCATTCCCTAGCCAGGGCACCCCCAGCAGATGGGCCGTTCCTCCATACAATCCTTCAGTACAGCAGCTCCAGACTGAATGCAGACCCTTTTGTCATTCAACCCTTCAATTTCTTTCAGATGTTTCCCAACAAACAGCAGAATAAAATAAAGAGGGAACGTTTTTTTCACAACAAAAGCAAATGGACCAAAACTTTCCCAGCCTGTAAAACAATGCCAGAGCTGGCTGTGGGAGGGTGAGGCTGGGGGCAAGAAAGAGGAGCTGGCACTTTGCTATCTTACCTATAGAAATACAATGTGTGTGTGTGTGTGTGTGTGTGTGTGTGTGTGTGTGTGTGTGTGTGTGTGTGTGTGTGTGTGTGTGTGTGTGTGTGTTTGTCTTAACACAAACACTGTATCTGTTCATCAATCTTCAAAGACAGTTGTATTATTATTATGAAAAAAAAGCATCAATGTGTGAACACAAGAAAACAAAATGATCACTTTCAATCTGTTTAAATCCAGCAGTTCCCACCATGATGAAAAAACACAACCACCCTGAGATCACACCTTAAAAACAGTATAAAACGGCGAAAACAACATGAAAAATCAGTTTCACTTACATTCTATTCAGATGTGCCAGTGGTGTTAGCCACCACACATAAATTTCCACCAGGGTTGGCATTTAGGCACTTTCTATTTCCATATGTATAGGCTTGCCTCTGCTAATTATGCTAATCATGGGCAGTGTTGGCCACTGTGAAAAATAGTCACATTAGACACTCCACTGACTGCTAATACTGCTTAATGTGTGGTTGAAACATACATTCATCCCTGCCTGAAAGGCAAAATTTTTCCACGTTGCTGGTCTCATTCAGACGAGAAATGAATTTATTGAGCCCAAGAACCATTTCTTTTTTCCCTCCCAAGTACCAAGAAAATGTTCAGTCTCTCTCCATCTCCCTCTCCCTTTACTTTTTATACTTTCATGGTGTGAAGACAGAGGCAAATGGTGCAAACTCTAAGGTGACTGGTGTCGCTTTATTTCGTGTAGACCAAAGACAAAGGTTGCTCTTCAGCAACGAAAGAAAGGGTGCCACACTATATTGATTGAGTTTTCATTATCCCGCTTTCGGCTGCATTGCAGCCTTTCAGGATATTGCATTCAATGTTGCAAAGAGTCTGACAGTCCAGTGCCCTTTTTTATAAAAGCGCTGGCACCAAAATAACAGTACAAAGGTATGTTATCAGTGTAGATGTGGCTGTGTTGAAATATTGATTCATATTTTATATTATATTAGAACTGTAAAATTGATACTTAGAAAAGACAGGTATAGAGTGCAGTCTGTGTGTTTCCTGTATCTTGGAAGCAAAGCCATGTGTCTGTCATATGCACATGTATCTATAGCTGCTCAATGTGTGTTTATTTGTTGGGGGGTGGTCTTGGTCTGACTGTTGAAGAGTGTGCGAGTGTGTGTGTGTGTGTGTGTGTGTGTGTGTGTTGGGGGGATGCTGAGAAAGGGGATGGAAGGAGGGAGACTGGGATTGAAGGATGGAGGTTGGGGGGGGTGGGGGGGTTGAAATAAACATTTAGAAGTGACCCAGGTTGACTCTGGTCTTGTTTGTTCTCTCTACCAGTGAGGTCCTGGGCCCTGAGCGCTGGGAGTTTATTTATCTAGCTGGGGCACCACCGCGCACTATTCACCTCCAATAATGCCTCATAGAGCTCCCTTTCTGTGTCTGAACTGGGGCGCTGTGTGCGCTCCGATGAATTATAGCATTTACCTGCTGTGCCGCTCTGAGGTTTGTTTAGAGAAACTGCTCCAAACATCGAAATGCCCACGTGTGCATTCGCTCATTTGCGCAAACTCAGGGGGGTTTTCTCTCATCCAGACTATGTCAGTGTCTTTTAATTACTACTGCAAAAGATCTTGTCTTATTTCATTGCTAGCTGGCTAAGCTAGCACTGCAGTCTATACATTCAGCCTATGTGGACTGTGTATGTGTAGATCTTTACCTCCCCCTTTCCTATCCTCTTCTACATGGCCTCTTTATGGGACATGTGGTGCGCCTGCTATCTGGACAGAACCTGTCTCACTGCACACATATTTGGACAGCTTGAGTCTGTGTACTTGTCTGTCATGCCTAACCCAAACTCTGCCAAGAAGGATGAGTTTAGTTATTGTAAGTGTAAACACCACCACTTTTACATGGAGGCCATTTCTTTCCTCTCTTTCTCAAACAAGCTTTTCAAGTGGGCCTTTGTGTGTGTGTGTGTGTGTGTGTGTGTGTGTGTGTGTGTGTGTGTGTGTGTGTGTGTGTGTGTGTGTGGGGCATAGTGGTACATTTGTTTGGTGAAACACACTCAGTCTTAATTTCTCTTCACTTATTTTCNACTCAAAACAATCAACCAAACACACTGCATTCACAGATTTTCAAATTTCAAGCCTAAGCAATCAACTTCTCTCTCATGAAACTACTCCCTCCCACGGCCCTTTGTGGTGAATGAAAGAGAGGCATGAGACAGTCTCACATTTGATGTTTGTTCACGTGAGACAGGCAAAAACACAAGCAAAAAAAGAAGAAAAAAAAAGTGTCAGCCAGCCATAAACCTTCCACCCTGTTCCTGCCCCAACCCCCCAATGTCTGCTCTCATCCTTCTCTTCTTCCTGCACCTCTTTTTACGATCTCTCTCTCTCTCTCTTGGACAATACAAGCCGGCTCACACGTTGCCCAGCTCACACCAACATTCACACTCTCAAAGGTGACCAGGATTTAGATGTAAAAACACTACAGAAGACTTAATGACATACAAATGTATATTGAATTTAGAGGGACATTTGAGAATGGAAAAAATGTAATATAATTCAGGCACTTTCAAATAATATGGTGCATGTTAAAAGGGAAATGTAGTAGTAGTAGTAGTAGTGTAGTGTAGTAGTGTCTTCTCTTCATTGGCTGCCAGTTTTTGCTTTACTTTCCAAAAAAAAAAAACCACACATACTATTTAATGCTACATTTAAGAAAAAAAACTAACAAAACAACATCTGTGTGAGTAATTGAAGGTATTCTGATGAGTGATGTCTGTCTCAGATTCTCCTCAGTGACTGAGCAGTAATCCAAAAATGGTCTTTAATCCTCTTGTCAGACTAAACACCCTGATACTGTGGCTTTTATTCTCACCTACACAGGTGTGAGGACTGAAGGCACGATTAACCCTTTTACTTTTTTGTTGCTTGTCCTCTTTGCAGATGCACACGTTTCCAGACAAGTATCCTTGGGGCAAACAAAACTGATATGAACAAAAGGCTGTCATGTCAGTATAGATTAGAATACTGTAAGAGTATGCTTGGGAACGCGTGTTTGCATTGCACAAAAACTAACTTTTCCTCCTGTTCTGTCTCTCTCTTCTGTCTGCTCTTTCTAGACACAGACTGCACGGCTGTGCTCTGTTTCACAGTGTTTTGGTGCTGTAGGAGGGAGGAAGCAATTAAAAAAGCCCTGGTGGCCTGACTTCACAGAGCAGGCAGACAGACAGGTAGAAATATAAACAGACACACACAAAGCGCAGGCAGACACATGGGCATGCAGTCAGGAAATTCAGGCGGGCAGACATACGGCCAGGCGCGCTGTACACACCGAAGGTGGCAAAGATGACAAGTGTATGTGTTTGTGTGAATACTGCGGAGGCAGCTTCAAGTATGAATATATGATGGGAAGCATATGCCCTTAACACATTCACACATATTCGCACACAGCTTACACCATGCTGGCAGAGTGTTAACACGTAAGGTGTCAGTTCACAGCTAGTTTATTGTGAACAAATTAGGATACAAGAGGAAAAGCTTTGCCTACGCTGCATTTTGGAAGAACTGTTTGAGAAGATTCATGTTCACATATGATGGAAATGACCTACAGGTTTACATTCGACATGACATTTCTTATTAGTTAAGATATGTAGTAAAAAACAGTCCAATAAAACTTAATGACTAATGTAGAAAAGCATTTTGAGTCTGTTGATATGAAATCATCTGTCTTATTAGCGAGCATATCATTCCTCCCTCCTGTGTTCTGGCTTATGCGCAATGGTGCATGTGTGTGTGTTTTTCTGTGTTTGTGTGTGCGTATGTGTGTGTGTGTGTGTGAGAGAGAGAGAGAGAGAGAGCGGCAGAGGGAGAACTAACCTCTCCTTGTTACTGAACCACTTTACTCTCCATTGAGGCCCTAGCAGCTTTGTCAATGGGCTATTGGTGGAAACAAGGCAGGCAGAAACTTTAGAAACATGGCCACGGCCTCTTAAAGGCACAGCATTCCTTTTCAGCCCCCCCGGTTCAACTCTCTCAATCCCACAGCAAAACAACTGGCACACAAACATCTAAACATCTCCTTTAAGCAATGGCTCTGCCAATTAGCTCAAGAGGTAATCCTGAAGCTTTACACTAACCAGAATGAAACCAAAGAAAAAAGAGACTGTGGAAATTCAAACTCTTGTTCCTTGTTTTTGCAGGAGATTCAGGCTTTTCCTTCCAACCTCCGGATAATCATTTCAGTGACAACATTTATAGCGATTTATCTTTAATACTGCCTGATTGAGGAGCTTATTTAAAGTCCGGTGCAAGTGAAGCGCACTGCCTCCAAACACTTCTCCTGACACCAGCAGTGTGTGATTCCTCCAACACCTCCGCTCAGCTCCTGCGGGAGCCGCCTGTCCCCGTCCTCTAGTGACATGGTGGGCTTAAAAACCCTATAGAGTCTGTTTATATTCACCAACTGCTGTGGCGCTTTTAGAGCGTGCAAAACAGGTGGGTAAACTTCAGCTGCATTCACTTATATTTTTTCTTCTTGTGAGGAGGAGGAGGAGGAAGAGGGAGGGGGTTTATGGAGGTGGTGCCTGCTTGCCTGCCTGCCTGCTTGCCTCTTGTTGAATGGAATCCAAGAATAGTTAGGGACCACACAGGGAGCCGAGGGGGGAGGGGTCAGAGCCCTCAAAGATGGCTAACCATTCACACAGTCCATCTGCTGCGGGGATCAGCCCCGGCACTGAAAGCCTGGGGGTTTAAAAGGAATTTGGCCAGTGTGAAAAACCAAATAAAGCTGCCTCTGCCCCTGAAAATGCACAGATAACCTAAACCTAAAACGCACCGAGAGAGGGTAAAAAAGAGCAGTGTCAAATGTAGAAAAGGTTTGTGAATTAGCGCAGATTCACACACGCACAGCCACCCTTATAAAGCAAGCAAAAGACATTGTGTGTATGTGTGTGTGTGTATGACAGAGGAATGCAGTCGTGTCAGAGATGTGTTCGGGTTTCTCGGGCTCACTGCGACTTATTAAGAAATGAACAAACATCAGCAAAACAATGCGGAGCTTCAAGAACACAACAATCCTTTTGGCGACACTCAGAAAACAAAGACACGAACTACTGCTGACAAAGGAGTTAACACTGTGTCTACAAGCTATTTACAGTTTGTATTCCCTGAGAGACATTTACAAAAATAAATAATGTGTTTAATGGTCATTTCCAACCAGACATATAACTACTAAAAAAACAACTCAACATCAGCCTCGACCTTGTTGCTGCTCCAGTCAAAGCAGTCAGTCTGTCAGTCGCTGAACACCTAGTGCCCTCCCATGGCACTGAGATGACACTAACATCGCCACCCTGCATCTTCCCACCAGCCACTGCTGTCATTCAAACTCTAGTTAAACCCAGTGAGGGGAAAAAAAAAAAAAAAAAACAAGTTCATCAAAATGTGCAAATTATAATGAGCTGTGTGTAAAAGTCAGTAAATCCAGCCATGAGCCTATAAGAGTGACCTCACAGAATGATGGTTTACCTGAAAGATGCACTTTGGGGATGTTGTATTGACAGTCACACAACACCAGACACCGGTGCAAAACTAACAGCACTTGTTAAGGGGTTTTGTGTTGCTGCTTCACGCAAACATCGCTCAGGAGGAGAGAAACACATGCTGTATCAAATGAGAGATATCTTTAACTCACCTTCCACCCATAGCTGTTCGATGTCCGTTTCGATGGCTGCAACCCGGAGTCCCACAGACAGAGCCCCAAATACTAAAAGTCCAATAAAGAGGACCTTCCCACAGTGCCTCTGGATGTGGCAGCCCAGAGAGAACAAGAGGGCCTGGAACCTCGCCCGGATCCACAGAGGAGCTTTCTGACCTACCGCCTTACCCTGGATTTGAAGAAGGAGGGAGGGCGATAAAAGGACAGTATTATTATTATTACTATGTTACCATACATAAATAACGAATCATTGCATAGCTGTCCACAAAGGCAGCTTTCATCGCTTGTATCTCTGTCTCTAGTGTGCATATTTTTAGATCACATCTAAAGTACAGTGACAAGTAATATCCACAACACTGGATGAAACATGCCTCTGTATTTAGAGACATTTTTTTTTTTGTAGATTTTTTAAAATGAGGCTTTACATGAAGTGGTGATAAGTTAAGGTGCTAACTAGCTAACGACAGATTTGACTGCCAATGTTGTCATGTCCTATGTGTGCTGTCACACTCCAGCTAAAACCTCATTTCCAACGAATGAACTGAGTCCAGACTCAGGACAGGATCTCCCACGACACCTCATATTTAAGATGATTTAAACTGCACAGTTATGGCAGTGATTTGTACCAGTGGCCTTTTCATTTTATTTTGTGAACCGATTCCTCCTATAGCTTCAGCTGAGAGAATCCAGAGAAACAGCAATGAAAAATACAAACATGAGCGCACTTTCATTCAGAGAACAAAACCATGACTTTTAGAAAACTTTAAATTGTGAAATATCAGATTAAAGGTGCAGATTAAAGGTGCAGCCTTGGAAACTTTCAGGAACAATACTGTAGAAGTTGTGACTTGATACTAAACACCTTATATGAATCTGATCTAGAGAGTTTGTAGCACACAGTTCTCACCACATGCACACTGATCTTGAACGAAAATATTGGTAGTTAACTTTCAGGGATAAGTTTGTTCATTTGCTTCTGCATAAACTAAACTAATACAAACTAATAGAATCAGTTGTATACAAATAGAGTTTCAGCTGACATCTGTTTCCCTTTAGTAATCTACATTACACAGTTTCCCCTCTAATTTTCAATATAACTGGTAGAATCTCTGCTTTAGTGCGAGTCATTCACTCCCTGTACAGCAAATGTCACTGCTGCAGGAGACATTGCACTGGTGTTGTGGTTTCTCTCAGCAGTGCTGAAACACGTCCAAGCATCCGGGCGGTCCAAAGATGCTTTGTCAGATCAAACTCAATCAGTGAATTCCTTTACAGGACCCACCACATTTCCAAACAGACCCCGGGCCAGTGCGCTCTCCGCTGCCTGCACAAAGCCAAAAACACGCACAACACGACTGGGGATATGGGAACGAGCCCTCACTCTCTCGCTCCCTCACGGGTGGCTTTAACAACAAATAAGAAAATGAATTAATGACTGTCTAATCCATTCAAATGAACAGCAACGTTAACATGCTGCCAAATATGAACATTTTTGTTCCAATTGTTATCACTTGATTCCTGGAGGTTCCCAACATCTCATGCGAGCTCGGACCTCTAGCCTGTAAGGTTTTGTCCCGGTAAACATGAAGGAGGTTTCTTTACTCTACATCAACCTGTGATGACAATTTCTTCACCCTTGTCGTTAAACGATAAACAGTTGAAGTGAACTACTTCTGATCTCGCTGTCGTCTCCCTCCGAGAGCTCCGGTGGTCTCCCGGACCCCAGCTTGGGAGCTGCTGCTTCAGCCTACCCTACATTCCCACATGCGCCCTCAACTCACGATTAGATAACGGCTAAATGAAAAGCTGCCTCTGAAGACTTTTCATTCACATTTGCCGACTGAATGGAAGCCGCCTTCATAGTAAACCCACACGAGACTGCGAGCGTTTGAATCACCTTTGAGATCTGTTTAAGTGCGAAAGCAGCGTGGCAGTAGCTGGGTCTCCGGAGTAGGTCTGGGTTCGCAGGCGGCTGGGAGCGCGTATAACTCGGGGGTAAATCTCCAAAGACGCCGGCCCCTGGGACCCCGCGATCCGAGGCCATAGTCCAAAGAGGGTGAGCGGGGCGCAGAGCGAAGCGACAGAGAATCGGTGCGAGTTCAGAAAAAGCGACAATAATCCAACATAGAAGAGGAGCGCATCCAGCACCGCCGGCGACAAGTTAGAAGAACGTTTTCTAGTCTTCCTTGGAGCCAAATAAGTCTCGAAACTCCATCCCAACATTATGCGCCGAAATCCGTATAGATCCTTCAGTCTTCATTCGTCCCGACAGTTTATGAAACGACGTCTCAGCGAGGAGTAGTAGTAGTTGTAGTAGTAGTAGTAGTAGTAGCCTATGTCTGAGCCGTCCGTGTCAAGTCTAACTCCGATCCCGTAGCGGTAACATTTGGAGAAGTTCGCCTCTCGGCAAATCCTGAAAAGGGAGGTTTGATGGAAAAGTGCTCCGGCTCCCATTGGCCAAGGAAGAGGCAAATTACTTTGCAAACATCGCCTATTATTAGCTGCTAAGCAACAGCTCACCAAAGTGGAGAGAGAGGGGGACCACCCAGGCTGCTGCTGCCTGGGCTGGAGGGAGGGAGGGGGAGGGAGGAGGGGATGGAGGAGAGGGGCGGTGGGAGGGGCGAGGAGGAGGGGGGGGGGGACTCTTTCAATAACTCTGCGCAGCCGTGCACGCACGCAAGCACGTTACACACAAACACAACACACACACACACACACAACACACACACAACCTACACATGCCCACACAAACACATACACACACACGTGCGCGCGCACGCACACAGCTTGCTGCCTGCCCGCCTCACTTGCTCTCTGAACATTATTCCCAGTGGCCGGGCCCTCCAGTTTGTAAGAAGCAATCGCACATGCCATCTATTGATATAACAGCGACAGGCACGCACACAATTTTCAGCCTCTCTGTTTCATCAACACAGTCCAATCAGTGAAAGAAAAAAAAGTTAATTCAGCTTTTTAGGCAAGAATGTAAACACGATTTTTTTCTTTTTCTTTTTCTTTTTTCTTTTTTCTTTTTTTTTTGGATGGGAGAATTACAGATCTTTCAACACGTTTCATATCACTTCAGGGCATCTCATGTTTGATAAGGTTTTGGAGCCTCACATTTGTTACAGAACACCCAAAAGACATTTTTACCTTTGCTGTGAGTGTAGTGTGTTTGTGTGTGTGCGTGTGTGTGTGTGTGTGTGTGTGTGTGTGTGTTCATAGGTGTTTTAGCACTGACAGCTGTAACCTCACCTCTTGTGGCCAAAAGCTTCTGAAAGTAGGTTTGACAGGTTTTCTTACACCTTCGAAAAATAGTTAACCCCTCGTCCCTATAAAGTTACCATGAAAAGATCATGGGAATTATTCCACATATGCATCTTTTCAATCGACACCTTAAAGCTGCCCGCTTCAGTGTGACACCCTTATCTCTGTGGAGACTTTTGGAAAGTTTCCACGTCTTGCCATGCATGATTTCATGAGTTCAGAGAGCAGTTCACCTAAGAAGTATGTGTGAAAAAGAAAAGAAAAGGAAAGGAAAGGAAAGGAAAGGAAAGGAAAGGAAAGGAAAGGAAGGAAGGAAAGAAAGAAAGAAAGAAAGAAAGAACGAAAGCAAGAAAGAAAGACAGAAAGAAAGAAAGAAAGAAAGATGGTTCTCAGGCCAGATTATATTTCTAATCGCTCAAAAACATGAGGTTAGGAGTGTCTTGGTGGTTTGCTAATGTAAGCCCCCCCACTGGCCCCACTCATGACAGTATGGGGGTGAAGAATAAACACTTTACCAGATTACACAGTCATTCCCTGCCTAAACAGCAACCTGTGCTGCTGTGTGGAACATTTGTCAGGTGGCCGGTGTCAGTTTGAGGGCCTCTGGGTGACTGTAAAACAATCTGAAGCTGAAGTAAAGCAATTTGGATATAGGCGTTGACGCTATAGGCTCGCTCTGTTTTTTGACAGCGACAGTAGGTGCAGGTTCAATCAGTGTCACATACTGCTGAGCTGTTACGTCCATCCTCACCGTTTACATGACATGTAGACAAAGAACAAGAGATGGATAGATAGGAGGATACTGTCAGACAGACCTGGGATCAGTGTGTATGTGATGCAGTGCATCATAAGGACAGAAAATATGTCATGAAAAGGTATTTTTATTCATATTTTCTTAACTGTTGCAACTTTAGTGCCATAAGACTATGACAAGTGAAGGGAGTAAAGATATTTGAATCAGTAACAATTTGAGTGACAGTAAGGAAGTAGATATTTTTTTGTACTCCTGCAATGACAAATGAAGTCAGCTTCCCTAACACATCTCATTCACACAAAATCAATTTTTTATACTCAATGTCTAAAAATGAATATTAAGTGATTTGGGGATTCTGTGACTAACTGTTTTTTTATCAGTCAAGTTATATTTAGTAAAAATGTCATAACAAAGTGGAAAATGCCCAAGGTGACGTCTTTACACATTGTTGAGTATGCATAGTACCAAACAAAGTATAAAGAATGACATTTGCATGAAAGTGGGTGTGAAAAATGAAATAATCACTTTTGATTGGCATCTATAAAAGGCTGACATGAGCTGCCTCAATGCTGTCACTGGCGACATTACTTAGGCCTTTTCTTTCCAGCTACAACAAGCAAAAACTACAGGTCACCTCTCACAAACTTTCTTAAAGGTTGGGTCAGTGAATAAATGAAATCCATCATCTACTAGCATGTAACAGTTTTTTGTTTTTTTTTATCATATTGATCCTCTTTGAACAAGCCTTTGTGGATCAACAAACGGTTATCTAAAAGCTGGGATACATTTCGAAACCACACCCAGATTTATTTCTCTATTTTCTGCTGTGTGCCCACACAAATTAAATATATTTATACACTATGTAAAAATGTTCTGTTTCAAACATCTGAATGTGATAAATCTGTGGTTAAGCATTTCTGCTGGTACAGAGCGATCGCTTTCTGTGTCTTGATAAAATAGCATATATGCACTGCCTGTATCAGCCTATCCTCTGACTTGGACTGTAGGATCACAGGATACTGTTGTTGGCTTCTCATTTACCACAGCTCCACCGCTCTCTGCAGAGGTTCATTGATACACCTACATCATACAGTATATACTTACTCGTCCATCTGTCCAAATGGAGACAGCCAGACGCTCGCGTTACTGGGGTGGCACTGGCTTGGTCAGTATTTCCATTTTGCTGGGACTGGGTATGGTTTGCCTGGACTGGGTTGGGTCGGGTTGAGTGGTAGAGGGAAACAAGCAGCTGGAAATGGGAGCTAATGTGGAATGTGAGGAATTGGGTTGTGTGGTAGGGGGCCCCCTTCAAGCCTAACAAACTCAGGGAGGTCCGAGGCCTGGTCTGGAGGCCTTGGATAAATAAACCATCTGAGATGACCATGCGCTGTGCAGATATCTGCCATCACACCGCCCCAGCCTCCAAACACAAATTGCCCTCCTCTCCCTCCTTCCCCTCTCCACGTCCTGTGTCCCATATGGTCCCTCTCCCTCCCTCCATCCATCCATCCATCCATCCCTCTCTCTCTCTTTATCTTCTCTCTTGTTCCATCTCCTTTACTTTTACCTCTTTTTATTTCTGATTTCCTTCTTAACACCTTCATCTTTCCCTCTACTCCTGCTCTTCCTCTTACCCCCCCCCCTCTATCTCCATTCCTCCATTTCATCTCCCCCCAGTGACTCCATCCAGTCATCCGTTCATCCATGCATGCATGGCTGGCTGTTCGTCCAGGGTTCTGTATGTGCTATAAGCAGAGCTACGGAACCGCTCTGGCACTCAGCCGTCTCACAACAGCCGAGACGCCCGGGGTTCAGGCACAGAAAGTGTTTATTTATCGAAGAGAGAGGCTGTGAGACTGCTCACGACTGCATTTCTTCGCAAATCATTTGGGACACACAGTAGAAGTGAGGTAAAAGACATAAAGGGAAGTGCCATTCCAAAAAAATACTGTGCTGTGTACCCGGGGAACACCAAGGAAGTCATACGAAAGGAGACGGATGAAGAAATAGAAGGAGAGATGACCACAGATGCAGAGATGATCATCCAGGGAAACAGTAGTGACATTGTGCAAAACTCAGTGGGCGTCAGTGGGAAAACAGACCTATCTTGTGAGAAGTAAAGGGACTATGTTTTTGACAGAACTGTAACTGAACTGACTAATTGTGGAATAACCCGAAACAAGGATGTACCCACATGACGACTGATGGTTCAATGTTGCAGTTGTCGCATGTTGCTTGTTCCAGATCTGAAAACCAATAAAAAGAAGTCAGGTGAAAATCAAACATTTACATCAAAACAAAAAACAACATTAAATCAGAACTGGTTATCTATTAAATCTAAAACATGTCCTCATATCCAGTTCCTTGATAGACAGTACTAGATCTTGATCAAATACTTTTAGCATATGATTATAGAAACAAGTTTTCATTTGTTTTAGATTGGGAAAAGGATCAGATAATCTAATATGGGAATGTTTTAATGGATTTTTCTGCAGTTTCCCATGAAAATGTCAGAATGCAATAATGGCCTCAAACATGACAAGAACTCTTGAAGCTCATGAACTGTGCCTCAGCATTAAAGACAATCAGATCAGATCAAAAAATCTCGTATACAGTATATGAAACTAATCTTGCCCCAAGATCAAAAATCTAGAAAAAAGTAGAAATAATTGATTTTGATTTGAAGTCTGGAATAAAGATAAAGACCCTATTCAAATTATGCAACCACTAAGCAACCTAAAGGGGATTCAGGTGGTATGATGATAATCATTTTTTACCCTCTCATTACACCCTGAGTATACTTATCTATGTGTGAGGCCAATTTCCAATAGCTCCATCATGCAAACGGTTTTCAAAGCACAAAACAACAGAGCATCACATCTAGCTCTTAAAAACAGACTGAGACATAACAAAAAATCTCTGGAAAAAAAAGAAAAAAACAAGAGAAGAAATCACAAACACATTTTGGGTTAACTCTTGTCCAAATGAACAGATTATTTTCACGAGAACCAAACTGAATATTT